GGGGGGAGAGAGAGAGAGAGAGAGAGAGAGATTGAGGAGATCCCCATTATTACCAGGGGCGTTAGCTGCAGCTGCAAGCAGAGACAAGCATTTGGCAGCATCAGGGGAAGACCCTCTGTCTGCAGGAGCACGAGCAGAACGATACTCCCGCCAGGAGACATTGGCTTCCCCTGCAGCGTCCAAGGTAGCCCTGGCCCAGATGTTCCTGACGTGGCTTCCTCTCCATGTCGATTTCTCATGTGTATCTATTCACCTGGCTGTGCTCAGCGGGCTCTTCACTTCTTTCTTCAGCTGATCATGGCTCACCCTGCTTCCACTTTATTCTACTTTTCTGCAGCTGGTCTCTAACGCCTCCAATCAGGGTCACCTTATAAGCAATGATCCATCTCTAGTATGATTTTAACCTCAAAAATTCTAACTTTTTGTCAGGTATAACTCCACAGTTCTTATATGATTTTCCCATGGTACCCCAAATAGTTATTTAATTTATCATTTTTCAGTTATAATCTTTTAAAATTCTAAAAACAGTCACCTGCCAATCGGCTGATGGACCACAGTGCCCTATAGTCACCACTACCTCAGTTAGTGCTGTGCCTAAATACGTTAGCTCTTTTTATATATTGTCTATTTTTGAAGCCTACTGCTTGTTTTTGTTTTTTTTCTTAACTGAAAGTATGGTACAGAGAGAGAGCCCTATTACCAAGGGTTGCAGCTGGAACCACAGAGAAACACTTGCTTTTAAACAGGTCCATTTATCTCCAGTTTCTTAGCCTCTCATCCTAGGTGCCATCCTCAACTTCTCACTATTTCTCAAACCGCACATCTAACCTGTTGCCAAGGCCTATCAATATTGCCTTTGCAATGTCTCTCCAGTAAACTCCCTTCTCTCCTCTGATACCGTCAGCACTCTAGTACAATATCTTCTCACTCTTGTCTTCTGGTTGATCAGTAAAAGCAAACACACCTGTGGGGGCCTGAGCTACAGTTTTAAGTGAATGCAAATCCATAGGCATAACAGCCCGGTGAGTTGGGATTGCCCCCCGACATTACAGGATAATAGGATCACACAGATTTAGAAGTGAAAGGAGCCTTGGAGGTCATCCATTCTCACTCCATCGTTTAACAGACGAGAAAACCGAGGCTCCAAAAAGTTGAGGGACTTGCCCAAAGTCACAGAGGCAGGATTTTAACCTAGGTCTTCTGACTCCAAATCTGGATCTGCTTTTCTTCAGTATCTGGCCCCAAAGTATCAACCCCAACCCCTCCTGTCATACTCGAGGACTCCAATCTGCATGCTGCATCCCCCCAGACACCCTGGCCTCCTCCTTCTAAGGGATGCTCGTACTATCGATCTCACTGTCACCCATAACTGGTCTACCTGCATGATCCAGAACTCTGTAGTTCCCTTCTCTGACCATAACTTCCATGTATCCTTGTGATTCACTCCTCTTTGCTCTATTCTGAACTCATTTTCCTTCTTTGAAATCTTCAGATTATAATTAAGCAGCTCAGCTATAATCTGGCCTCTACACTGGATTTCCTTCTACTACCACCATTCACTTTCTTTGTTCCTGGTGGCATGGCCATCAACACCAATGGAGGGAGTCATCCAACTTTGCCTACTGGGGCCATTACAGATTTATGAGGCCTGATCTCAACTGGGCCCTGAGGCAATCCTTTTATTTTGATCTGCTGCTCTTCTCAAACCTTCCCTTCTTTCCTCAAGCCTAATAAGTCACTCCCTGCCCAAACTTGGTCAGCAAAGGACTTGGCTTCCTACTTAGGAACTTGCACTAACCCTAACCCTATCCAAACCCTTTGCTCTAAGCATCCCCTATCTTCTCCTCCTTCCCTCTGGACTCTGAGGACCAGATGGCTGTCTCCTAGGCAAAGTCCAACCTTCTCCTTGTGTACTTGATCCCACCCCCATCAGATTCCTTTAGAAGCTGTACCCTTTATGATCTCTCTTTGCCATCTTCAGTCTCCTAAATGGACACCCCAGGCCCAAAATTCTTCACTTGACCTTACCTTAGCATCCCCTGAAGAAGCCAATATCCTGCATTTCTCTTCCCTTTCACGGTTAAACTCCTAGAAAACACTGGAAGGCATCATAATGGTGAAAGGATCATAGATCTTAGAGCTGGAAGGGACTTTAGACATCACAATCATTCAATCAGTAAACATTTATTAAGTACCTACTATATGCCATGCTCTGTACTAAGCGCCAGGTATACAAAAAGAGGCAAAAGACAGTCCCTGCCCTCAAGGAGCCCACAATCTAATGGGAGAGACAACATGTAAACAAATATATACATATATATGTAAACAAATAGGAAATAATGAATAGATGTAAGGTGTTAGAGCTATGAGGGGCTGGGCAAGACTTCCTGTAGAAGGTGGGATTGTAGGTGAGACTTAAAGGAAGCTGGGAAGGTCAGTGGTCAGAGCACAGGAGGGGGAGTGTTCCAGGAATGGGGGATGGCCAAAGAGATGCCCAGAGCCCAAAGATGGAGGGTTTGGTTTGCGGCACAGCCAGGAAGTGACTGGAAAGGTGGAAGGGGGCTTGGTGAGGAAGGGCTTGGAAGGCCAAACTAAGCCTTAAAGATTGGATCCTGGAGTCCATAGGGAGCCACTGGGGTTTATTGGGGCAGGGTGATGTGTTCGGAGCTGAGCTTTAGGGAAGTGACTGCCCATGAACCTCAGTTTCCCCCTCTGTGAAATGAAGGGGTTAGATTATACAGCTCTGAAGTCCCTTCCAACTCAGGTTTTATGAACTTGGGCTCTTTGCTCCATTTTAATTTTTAAGGAATTATTTTCTTCAGTGAGCTTGTGGACCTCCTTTTCCATTTGGCCAATTCTGCTTTTTAAGGCCTTCTCATTGGCTTTTTGGACCTCTTTTGCCATTTAGTCTAGTCTATTTTTCAAGGTGTTATTTTCTTCAATTTTTGGGGAGACTCCTTTAGCCAGGTGTTGACTCGTTTTTCATGATTTTCTTGCATCACTCTCATTTCTCTTCCCCATTTTCCCTCTATTTCTCTTATTTGATTTTCAAAATCCTTTTTGAGCTCTTCCATGGCCTGAGACCAATTCATATTTGTCTTAGAAGCTTTTAATATAGGAGCTTTGACTCTGTTGACTTCTTCTAGTTTTATGTTTTGATATTCCTTGTCACCAAAGTAAGATTCTATAGTCTGATTTTCCCCCCGATGTTTGCTCGGTTCCCCAGTCAATTACTTGCCTTTTTAACTCTTTGTTAAGGTAGGGCTCTGCTTCCAGGGTGGAGGGCGCACTGTGCCAAGCTTCAGGGGTTTTGTGTAGCTGTTTTCAGAGATACTTCTAGGGACCTGTATTTTCAGTTCTTCCAAGGTGGTGTGATCTAAGGGGAGGTGTGTACTACTCCTCTGGCCTGTCAGTGCCCTGGAACTCTGAGGAGGGTTCCCTCTCCCCTGTTGCCACAAGCTCTGGAAGCAGCCCTCTCAGCCACCACTGCCGCCATCCCAGGGCTGGGTGGGGGCAGGGCTGGATTGCGCTCCTCTCTCACCCAGGTCCACAGACTTTTCCCATTGACCTTCTAAGTGGTCTTTGGCATCTGTGGACCAAGAAGTCTGGAAGCCACCACATGGGCCTCTGGCATCCGGTCTGCGCTGGCGCGGTTTGTGCTGGACCACACTCCTGTCCCAGCCTGGCGCAATGTTTCCCTTCAACCATCCAGGTTGTCTTGGGCTGGAAATTTGTTTTGTGGCTTCTGCTGCTCTAGCATTTCTTTAGTCATTTTTACAGGTATTTGGAGCTTAGGTGAGCGAGTCCCCACCTTTACTCCGCCATCCCCCTGATCTTGGGCCCTTTGATAATCATTTCCTTTCCTCAGGTCTCAGTTTCCCCATCTGTAAACTGAGGGGGCTGGACCGTGACCTCTCCGGTCCCTTCCCTTCCCTGGGCCTCAGTTTCCTCTTCTGTAAGAAGGAGGAGGGTGGACCGACTGGCCCCACTCCTCCTCTTCCTCTTTCACCCCTCCCAGCGTAGGGGCGGGGATGTCGTGGGCTCTCTCCCACCCCCTTTCGCTCCGCCCCCAGCCCTACCCACGCGGGCTGGGAGGAGGAGCCGCCCCGCCCCGCCCGGCACTGCGCAGGCGCGCCTCCAGGTCCCGCCTCCGACCCCGCCCCTGACTTCTCGAGGAGGCGCTCGCTCCGTTCCCCCTCCCACCTCGGTCGGGGGCTCGCGCGCTGCACTTCCGGCTGTACGCAGCGCCACCGGAAGTGTCCGGGGGGACCGAGGCCGAGGGACTCGGCGGAGCGGAAGTCAGTGAGTGAGACGACGGCGGCAGTGAGAGGATGAACAACAAGTTCGACGCGTGAGTGGCGTGGCGCGCGGCCCCAACCGCCGCCCCCGACCCGGGCCGGCCTGAGCCTGAGCCCGCCCTCGCCGGGGCCCGCCCGGGGCCGAGGACGGGACCCGGGGGTAGGGGACCCCCGGGCTGGGGGGAGGGTGGCGGGAAAGGAAGGCAGAGCTGAGGCACCCACGTCTTCTCCCCTCCCCGAATCGGCGCGCCTTTATTAAGCGCCTCGGGGGTGCCTGTCGGGGCGCTGGATTTGGAGTCCGAGGACCTGGGTTCGAATCCTGGCCCTGTCACCACCCCCTGCGACCTTGGGCAAGTCCCTTCCCTTCCCTGGGCCTCCGCTTCCCCTTTTTTTCCTTGGCCGTGGAGTGGAAGCTCCTCGAGGGCAGCCCCCATCGCCAACAGCTGGCGTCGATGAAGCGCCTCCCACGCGCCTGCCGGGTGGGGATGGATCCCCAGGGCATACACGTAGTAGGCGCCTCATGCATGCTCCGTAAAGTGGTGGCTCAGTGGAGGTGAGAGGGTTGGGCTGGAGGGCCGGGCCCCTGCCCTCGAGGAGCTTCCACTCTGCCGAGCTCGGGCTCTCCAGCAAGTGTCCGCCGAGCTAGAAAGCCGAATACACGCCCAGCGATGGGCGGGGGCACCAGGAAGGACCCTGCAGCCACGTGGGGCCCCCCCTGCGGGGAGCGGGGGAGGGGCGTGGAGTCGGGGACCTCGGCTCTGGCACCTTGTGTGACCTTAGCCGGGCTTGGCCGCAGTTAACTTGGGTGCAGGGAGAGGTTCGGAGGCGATGACCTTTAAGGGGAGCCCCGGTGTAAATCTTTAGTCCCAGGTGCTGCAGGAAAGGGCTTAGAGATCCTGGGGCCCTAGACAGCTTGCACTTTGCAAGGAGCAGGGATCCCATCTCAGCGAGGTGAATTGCTGTAGTTTTGTTGGATTTGACCCCTGGAGACCTTTGCTGCCCTAAATGTGTGAAAAGTTCTCATGGGAGAGAAAGTGACTGGCCTAGGGTCACACAGTTGGAAGTAGCTGAGCCAAGATTTAAAGCCAAGGCTTTTGACTCCAGATCCAGTGGCCTGGAAGGGGCCCTAGACCTCGTGTAGCACTAAGCAGTGCTATCCCCTCCTTTTACAGATGAGAAAACTGAGGCTCAGAAAGGGAAAAGGACTTGCTAAAGACGTTAATGAGACCCAAACTCAGATCTCCTGACTGGTATCCTACCTTCCTTCTTTCCAGGCAACCAAAAAACATTCCTTGAAAAATTCATCAAGTTCCACTTCTTTTTGTCTTCTGTTACTGTTAAGCAATCCATATACTTGTCTTCCAAGTAACTTAGTTGCTGAGAGGAAATGTACTTCTAAGCCCGTCTGCCCTTCTCCCACAGTTCTTGTCCGAGAACAAGTTTCTCCCTCGCTTTCTTTGGAATCATACAGAGCTGTGGTGTAAGATTAGGAAAAGAGTACAGCACAATCGATTCATAGACAGATACGTGAAGAGAAACTCCAATTTTATGTTGCTAATGTGGAATTGTTCTGTTATAGGACATGAGTACTTCTGGTCAGAATCAGGGTTCCTGCATTTAAAGCATTTGAGGTGGTTGTAAAAGGCTGCAGTGTGTCTCTAACATCATTGGAATACATGTCCCATGCTGATAGAATTGGCAGCCAAAAACCAAATTTAATAAGGTGAAAGGTAAATGTAAAGTCTTACACTTGAGTTTAGAAAAAAAATCATCTCTGCAAGTCCAGAATGGAAGAGTCATCATTTCCTCTGAAAAATTCTTGGAGGCTTTAGAGGATTACAGGCTCATTGAACAGCCTAGTGTCCATGGCTAAGGAGGTCATAGCTGTCCTCTGCCCTGGTCAGACAGCATCGGAGCATTGGTTCAGTCCTGTGCACCACATTTTAGGAAGACAATTGGCAAGCTAGAGTGTATGTCCAAAGCGGGGGGGGGGGAGCGGAGACAGGGAGACCAGGGTTATAAGGGGAATGGAAGCCTGACTTTCTGGGGTTTGGTCCCAGGGACTGAGAATGTTTAATCCAGAGGAGAAACGGCTTTTGGGAGGGCTGGCAGGTGGGAGAGGCTTTGTTTTCCTTGACCCTCGGGGGTGGTAGAGTGGAGAGGGCTTCCTCATAGAATGTGGAGTTCCCCATCAGTGGAGGTTTCCCATAAAGGGTGGGTACCTGATTGTCAGAGATGTTGCTCAGATGAGGGTAGGAGAACTGTGTGGTTGAGCCTGAGCTTCTGTGGTTCCTCAGGAATGCTTTTTGCTTGCTTCAAGGTCTCCTGGGTCAGGTTTCTTTCATTAGGAAAAGTGTTTGCCCAGAGTGTCTCTGTTCTTCCCTATTCTCCCCTTATCTCCGTTTTATCTGTCCAATGCTATTTAGCCCTTCTTTTTCCCCATCAGCCTACTTCACTCCCATGTCCTCTTACGGAGCTCACTGTCTGCTGCATTCATCTGGTGCTTTGTCTAGTCACTTGGTATGTGCACATGTCAGTCGGTCAGCAAACATTTAGTAAGTGCTTACTGTGTGCCAGGCGTCCCAGGCATCATGTGGGTGCTCCCATCCAAGGTGGGGAGACAACAAGCAGATCACTAGCCATGGAAGAGATACGTGCAGAATAAAAGGAAGGTGAGCTCTGAGAGAAAGCAGTAGGAGCTCTGATGCCTGAGGTAAGGATGGCTCTTTGACCTATCGTCCATCTCAGCTCCTGAGCAGCAAATGCTCAGTGAAGGCTGGTTGATAGTGGTTGCTTATCCAAGGGAGTTGGAACCTGAATTAATCACCACCTTTTCCTATAATAAATTCATGTATTTGATGACTCTAACCTGGGGTGTAGTTTGAGCATTTCTAGTATTAGTCACACTTATTAACCCCATGCCTCCCTTTAGCTCCAAGGCAACAGGCAAAAGAGTGATTTCAGAGCTCCCACTTTAAGTTGTTGGTTTAGAATATCCATCTTTCCATGCTCCAGACTTTTGTCCAGGAGTCCGTTCTCCTTAAGCTAGTCTGTCCAGCTTTTCTCCCGTGTCGGCATAGTCCTGGAATTAGCGCTGGATCCTTAGAGTTTCCCGGCAAATTTCCCAGCATTGAGCTGGGAAAGGGTTCAGCAGCACCAGGCTGGAGTCCTGGCATTCTGGCATGGTGCGCTTGAAACCTCCACTCACCGTTTTGACACCTGTAATTTATTAGGGGTATTGGAGCGCCAACATAGGCTTTCTGCTTGGGGTCTCATTTTATTTAACCTGCCAGGAGTCCTTTCCTTGTTTCGCTTTAACATTTGGGCATCTTCCACACCCACACACTGAATTCAGGTGGTTTCTCTTTATTCAAGACAGTGAATCTTATGCATCTCCTGGTTCTTTTGGATGAGGAAGAGACAATTCAGCCATAGGAGGCATGTTGTTTTATCTTTTCTTTCAGCTTGAAAGATGATGACAGTGGGGACCATGACCAGAATGAAGAAAACAGCACACAGAAAGACGGTGAGAAGGAAAAAAGTGAGCGAGACAAAAGTCAGAGCAGCAACAAGAGGAAGGTGTGTTTGGAGCAATGTTCTCAGATGCATTCGGCAGCAGGTTTAAATCTTGGGAAGCTGGTGAGATCCGTCTAGGCCAAGCAAGACTTGCAGGGCCTTGCACGGAGCCTCTTTGTCTGAAACCAGCATCCCCTTACTCAGGGAGAGGCTCTTCCCCCTGCTTTGGATACCTGGCATGCTGGATTGAGAGAGGGAATTTCCTGAGGTTCTCTTATAACTTGGAACATTTCTCTTATCATAGATCCTTGAGGTGGTGTGCATTCTCCAGTTCTAGGATTTGTGACTTGAATTGCCAAAAGCAGACAGCTGTTGATTCTCCTTACTTCACTTAGGGGCTAACTGGCCCTTTTGTTTGGGGGCAGGGGAGGCTTAGGAGTGCCGAGGAGGGCCACCCAAGCCTCCCCTTCTGGAAGGGGCTAAGTGGATTGCTTTGTTCCACAGGCTGTTGTCCCTGGGCCTGCAGAACACCCACTGCAGTACAACTACACTTTCTGGTACTCCCGGAGGACACCAGGCCGGCCGACCAGCTCACAGAGCTACGAGCAGAACATTAAGCAGATCGGCACATTCGCCTCTGTGAGTCTTCTTTTGTTGCGGTGATTGGAAGTAGTTAGTTGCCTGGCTTGTGGTGTCACGTTCGTATCTCCGTATTCATGAATGCCATGAGCAGCCCTTTATCTGCTTTGGCAAACTGGCATTCAGTTTACTTGTAGAAGCTGATAACCTGGGATTTGACTTCTGTGCTTGCTCTTTTTTGGGGGGGCAGGGGGTTAGGCAGTGGGGTTAAGTGACTTGCTCAGGGTCACACACCTAATGAGTGTTTTGTGTCCGAGGCCAGATTTGAACTCAGGTCCTCCTGAATCCAGGGCCAGTGCTTTATCCACTGGGCCACCTAGCTGCCCCTGTGCTTGGTCTTAGACACCTATGGCACACATCAGTTTCATCAACTAAATTTATCCGGGAGACCTTGGATAAATAAGAAAGTCCGTATATATATTGCTTTTTTTTGGTGAGGCAATCAGGGTTAAGTGACTTGCCCAGGGTCACACAGCTAGTAAGTGTCGGGTGTCTGAGGTCAGATTTGAGCTCAGCTCCTCCTGACTCCAAGGCTGCAGCTCTATCTGCTGCGCCATCTAGCTGCCCCTTACGTTCATATATTTTTAAAACATTGATTCATTTAGACCTAGAAAATCTGGGCTGTGGATTTGGGGTCCAAAGTGATTTTCCTTGAACTTTTAATTTCGCTCATTTTTATTGAATACACAGCTAGACACAGAGATGGATACGAAATGGTCCTGTCCTCAAGGAGTTTATAATCTCCTGGGTTTTTGGTTAGTGTTAAGTGATAACATTTAAAGGAAGAGGCCCTTCCTTTTGCTTTGTGTATTCTATGGTATCAGAGATGATGGCAGACATTATCTTAGAGCTGAACCTCCTCACTGCTTGGATCCTTTTACTCTGGCTCCTTTTATGTGATCGGACCTATACGAGGACTGAAAGACAGGTCAGAACCACTTTCGCCAGGGATGGGGTGACCATCTCGCTTTGTCTTAGGGCAGCCCAGCCCCTGTTTAGGTGGCCCTAAACAGAGCTAAGAAACAACTTGTTCACTAGCTCTTTTGTGGGCAGGAGGGTGTTTTGAGGAAATCCTGGATGGGCAGGTAGCACACTCCTGGCACAGGATGGAGGTGCTCAGGCCAAGGTGGGTGTTTCCTCGCAGCATTTGGGGGAGTCTCAACTGCTTGGGGCAGTGGAAGGTTACCAGGGAAGGCTTCATTCCCTCCTTGTAGCCTGACCCTCAGGATGGGCCACTGTGGTGGGACAGTGGAGGACAGTGTGGTTCCTTCTCTTAAGGTTACAGTATTGACGGTAACACCAAGATAGCCCTGGAAGCTCTGCCCAGACCTTTCCTCACAAGCACCACGTGAGGCAGATAGTTCAAATAGCCTTGTCCCCACTTTCCAGAGACGAGGCACTGGGTGTCAGTGACTTGCCCAGGGTCATGCTGGCTCTGGTAAAGTCCTGCCTCTCAGCTGACTGCCCAGGCTGGCCCTCATTCTGTTACACTGGCCTGCTGTCAGACCCAGGAGGGCACCGTCTCCTGTGGCTGAGGATGGGGGGTGTGGGCTGCTGGGCTTGGACCTTGCAAGCCAAATCCATCCCACCATGGGTCCCGGGCTGTTCAGTCCTTTAATGTTTCAGCGTCAAGTGCGATGTCAGTATTACTGTCATTACTGGAATTACTATCTCCATAACCTTAAGGGACAGGGTCTTAAGTGGAAGCAGCCACATCCTCAGCCACTGTCCCTTTGCTTCAATTTCTTCATCAGGAAAATGAGGACAATAAAATACATCCATGACTTATTTTGCAGAGTAGTTTTGAGGAAAGTGATTGGTAAATCATAAAGCACCAGAGAGATGGCCTCAGGATAGAAGGATGAGCGTGTGTACATGTGCCCGGTGCAGGGTGAAAGGAGACTGACTTTGGCTCCAGTGTTCCAGAGGAAAAGCAGATGGGAGGGGGCTTGGGGTGTGGGGATCTATCAGTACATGTTTGCCAAGGAGGCACTTATCTACTTAGGCCAGAGGTGGATGTGGGGGTGTGTGTGGGGGGGTGTCACACCCACCCCCTCTCCCTCCTACAAGCTGAATCCAGGAATGTCCTCGCTTCTCTCTCTCATGCCACATTGAGCCTGGGGTTTGTGGTGCCCTCTTCTCCCCACCTCCCGCTCCTTTGGGGAATCAGGCAGGTTATAAATCACAAGTAGGATTGGCCCTGTGGAAACCAGTATGGACAGAGTATGTGAGGGAGAGCAGCCGAACCTATTGAGGAGGAGGAGAAGGAGGATTTGGGGCTTGGTGGCAGATCTCGCACCCAGACGGCTGTGGTAGCCTGTGAGTCTTGGCACTGCTCCGTGCCCTGCTCAGAACCCCTTGTTCATCCGTTCAGCAGCCTGGTGTGACTCCCACTTGGCTGCCACATAAAGCGCGAACGCTGCTGGGCGTTCCCCCACTGTCCTCCCCAACTCCATCAGTGCTGTCCTCTCTGCTGCCAGCACCTAGCACCTGCTGCCTCCAGTGTTCCCAGCGCTATCCTTCCATTGGCACCTGTGAGATTTCTCCCAGTCCTGGAGCACGGCGGCCTCCCGGAAACCGCCGTGGGTTTTGTCAGCTCTGCTGGTTTAGCTGCCGCCAGCTGTCTTCCTCAGGCTTCTCAGACTGCGTCCCCCCCCCCCCCCCCTTGTGGGCCTCACATCCTCTCCTGTACCAGTTCCGAGAGCAGTTTGTGTTGTTATTTTGGCAGGCACTGAATATTTACTGTATTAATTTTGTTCTAATCAGTAGCCTTAGAAACTTTAAAATAAAACTGCAAACTTCAGCACTCCAGAGTCACCACTGGAGGGCACTTACGGTAGCCAGTGCAGGGTGGGGGTGTAATTCATTTAATTCAGCATCCATGTATCCCCACCTCCCATGTGTAGACTGCTGTGCAGAGTGAGCTAAAAGCAGCATTAGGGCGTGGGCTTTGCCCTCCTGGAGCACGTCCCAGGCCCCAAGCTGAAGCAGATTAGTCTTGTGAAGACAAAACTTAGACCCTTGGAATGTATCGAGCACGGTGTATGCTAGGCTAGACAGTGTACAGAGAAGAGCTGAATTACTTCTTACGGGTCAGTATGTGCCGGGTGCCGTGAGTGCCGTGGGCAGTCAAGGAGCCGAAGGTGCCTGTGGGCTGGTGCTAGCAGAGGAGGCTCCAGGGAGCAGGGGCAGAAAGGGAAGAGGGCCTGTGCCCGTAGGCTGGTGCTCCGTTGAAAAGTAACTTGAATTACGGGACGGTGACTCTTGGGAAGCGTTTAGCGCCTCATTTCCTCGGCAAGGTGGAGGACTCTGGGGGTGGAATGTCGTGGTACTTCCATCCAAGCTGTTTTCTTTTTCAGTCTTGATTAGTTTTGCTGGGGAAGGAAGGAAGAGGGGCACATTTGGAAGTGAATATTCTCTAAAAATGAAAAGCATACCAAAAAAAAGCGTTTCACTTGGGAAAAGTTGTTTTTCTAAAATCATACACATTCGTATTTCGTAGCTTTACTGGTCTTAGGCTCTTTCGAGTCATTCTGAACATTCCTTCCTCGGACTTGTATGGGTCTGTCATGAATGGCTGAATGCAGAAGCAGTTATTAAGGGCTGACTCTTCCAACGAGCTTTCTTAGAACACTTTCACCCTCTTTTTATTCTGTGCAGGGATTTGGAAACCCATAGTACTGTGAGCATAGGGCATTTGAGATGAGAAAAGGACCCCTTTGGTCATTGACAGCGGTGACATCAGATGGGCCAGGTCTTGACTTAGAAAACCACAAATTGGTGGTATGTATGTTGCATAACATTTTTATTTATTTTGGAAAACATTTCCAGTTCCATTTTATTCTGGTTCTAGCTGCAGAAGGTTGTGAGTTTGACACCTGGTTTTTTGTCCGTTTCTCCACCTGGTCATTTCATTGCTCTGAGTTGTAAGACAGGACTCTAACCACTAACAGCCATGTAGTGAAAATGCAGGCAAGTGGAGAAGCCCTGTCCATAGGAAAGTAAAACTTTCTCTGTTTACTCTTAAGGTAAGCACTTAGGGTCACAGGTCTGTTTGTGACCACCTGAGTATTACATGCCCAGTTAATGTGCTCTAAATCCTCAAGAGCCCCTGACATTTCAACTTGTTGAAAACCAAGCATTGTACTGAGGCTGTGGAGCTGGTGGAATTCGAGTTAAAGTATTAGAAATTTGAGTGTGAACTTGCCTGTAGAACTTTGCCATAAAGAGTGGTAACTTCATGTGTCGTCGTTTGTTTAATCTTTGGTGTTGGCCGAAGCTAGAAGAGTGGTCTCAATGGCGGATCGTGTCTGGTGCCTGTTGAGGCCCTCGTCGGGCCATCTTCTTGTGGGCCTCATTAGTATTTCCTTTACTGTTTTTCTGTTTTCCAGTGTCTCTACAAAGAAGGAGGTAGAACTTGTACCAAGGCTCTTCCCTGCCTTTGGATTATCCCACATTCTTGTTTTTCTCAATATGCTTTCCTTTAAGTTAGATGTGTGCATGATGGGATTGTTGGAGTGACTGGGGCACCTGGAACCAGGTGGAAGCCAAGGCTTCATGGAGGAGGGATTATTGAAATAAGGCCAGAAAAACTAGGAGAGGGCATGTGCATGTTTTCTGACCAGGAAGCAGAATGGTTCACCTGCTAGGTATTGCTAGGAGGCTGCCATATGGCAGTCTTGCGTGGCAGGATCCCTCTTTATTAACATGGTGCTAACTGGGGGGTCTTCACAGGTCGAGCAGTTCTGGAGGTTTTATAGCCACATGGTACGTCCCGGGGACCTGACAGGCCATAGTGACTTCCATCTCTTCAAAGAGGGAATCAAACCCATGTGGGAGGTGAGTAAATTCTCTGACCTGCATGTTGGGGTTAGCTTTGACTTGCCTGAGCACGTCCCTGGTAGCAGCGATGGGGTCTGAGTGTTTAAAAAAGCCTGGTCTCAAATTGAGAAATAGGAATTGGTGTTTTCTGAGAACCAGAGCTCAGTGAACACTTATAGGATGCCTTTTGAGGTAAGGACCTGTGTCCGTGGTTTGTTTCTATGGCTTGGTAGATGGGACACAAAAAAGAAATCAAGCTCAAGCCACGTGGATGAGCTGGGGCTTCTCTCTCCCTGCCAGTGGAGGGGCACCTTCCCCTCGGTCCCCTGGGACTGTCACTTGTGGTCTTCCCAGCTGTTGCTCGGAATGCCGTTAGTTAGGAGCAGGTAACCGGAGGAGCTCGGAGGCAGGATGTGGCCGTTGCTTTAACACGTCACACGAAAGTACCCACGAGTGACTTGAACCTGAGGTGGTGGCCTGCTCCCTTCATTGACCCCTGGGTTCCAGACCTCTGAATTGGACCTCCTAGTACTTGATCTGGGTTTCCTTTTGTTTCTTGAAGAACCTCTTTAGAGAAGAAGAGCAGTGGTTGGAAGGCTGTGTCTCTGTGCTTTGATGTGGCTTGTAGTTGAGTCAAGTTCCCTCCTACAAAATTGAGCGCTTCAGAAAATGCAGTTCTTCCTGAAGTTTGGCTTCTTCCTCAAATGGTCGGGCTCTTTACTGTTTATGAAAGAAAAAGGCTTTGAAGCCATTTTTTATATTTTCACCCTCCTTTTTATAGGATGATGCAAATAAAAATGGTGGCAAATGGATTATTCGACTCCGCAAGGGCTTAGCATCCCGGTGCTGGGAGAATCTTATACTTGCCATGTTGGGGGAACAGTTCATGGTGGGCGAGGAGATCTGTGGGGCAGTTGTCTCTGTCCGTTTCCAGGTGAGTCACCCTGGGGTTGGCCCTGCCTTTTACCTCTGTGTCACCTCCTCTTTGCCTTGATCGGGTGTCCTGTCCTTCTTCTAGGAGGACATTATTTCAATCTGGAACAAGACTGCCAGTGACCAAGCGACCACAGCCCGTATCCGGGACACGCTCCGTCGAGTGCTTAACCTACCTCCCAACACCATAATGGAATACAAAACACACACCGACAGCATCAAGTACGTGTTGTGGGGGGGCCGGGGATGTCCCTGAGCTCGGCACATTGGCACCTCCCGGCCATGTGCCCACATGAGCATGATTGTGCAGGAGGCTGACCTGTGGAGAAGGGCCAGGCCAGTCTGAGACACTAGGGCTTTGGGTGATTTTGGATAGCTCTCCAGTGGGCACCCACTCGGATCAAACGTGGGCCGTGTAAAAGAGATCTTTTCTTTTAAACCATTTTGTATTAACCTAGGCTTATTTTTATATAGGCTGCCTTGTCTTTCAGTCTCTAATCAATTTCCTCAAAAGAAGGACAAGGTCTCTGCTTTTTCTTGCTGCTGTTGGAGGTAGTAGATCCCTATCCTCACCTACCTGTGGTTTTAACCCCTTAGCTTCAGTCTAATTTCATAGTCCTGGGAATTGGACTTAGCCCTGGGGTGGTGATGTCATTTCCTTTTGTGTCAAGCTGAGAGTGCCAAGGACCTGAGCAGGTGGTTCCTGTGGGGATAAGCCTGAGTGGGGAAACAAGGGTCAGAGGTGGAGGTGAAGCCGTGGCACCTCACCAGGAATCTCAGGAAACGGAGCCATTCCCACATAGGAAATCTCACTGACCAGGGTTGCCTTTTCAGAGACAGGGTATTACTGATGAGGACAGTACAAAGCCAATAAAAGCCATTAGAGCATCTCAGCCTGGGAAAGAGAACTGACCATTAGGAGGCAGGCTTCCTGGGCGGAATGCCGCACTTTGACCATGACTTTGCTGTATGCCTTCGGTAGGTCTCTTTGCCTGTCTGTGCTTCAGTTTCCCCATCTGTAAAATGGGGGATAATAATACTTAACCTACCTCACAGGGTTGTTGTGAGGCTGAATTAATGTCTGTAATTGATCTGAGTTCCTCCAACAGAGGGTGCTCAGGCAGTCCCAAGTATTATTATTATTATTATCACCTTCATGTTACTCTACTTATTAAAGACCAATCATGAGCCCATCAGTTGTTTACAACAGTCTAGCCATTTGGAACACTGCTTCCCCGTGCCCGGACAGAGGACGCAGGGGTGGGGTGTGGAGTTGGGTTAGGTCCCTGGAGCCCCCGGCCTCTTGGCATTTGCTTTGGTGACACCTCGGGCAGCTGGGGTCACATCACGCACCTCGACAGCAGACCGGGAGCCTTTTTCCTTAGACAGACGCTGGCTCTGTGTCTGCCACTGTGTGTTGTATGTGCTTCTGTGCATTTCAGTGGCCTGCTTTAATCAAATGCCCCAGCATTGGGCTGGCTGTTAGCCAGAGACCCACTGGCCAGCCATTGCCCCAGTCACTCGCCCTAGTCTCTCTAGGTTAGCACTGCTTCTCTCTCGGTTGGTTTTTCTTACTCTTTGCTTTCAAGGTTTTGATAATTTTCTTCCTTTGGCCAGACTGCGTATTGACCGACGCCTGCATTTGTCTGGGTACCCCTACCTGTTCTGGTCAGAGAAAGATTTTTAAAGAGAGAGCAAGTCCATCGGCTCCTCTCACCTCTCTCTGCCTCTGGGCTCTCCCAGTGCCCTGAGGCAGTCCTGCCTACATACTAGAGACATGTAGGAGTCTTGGGATTGCCGGCCAAAGGCAGGGTGTCTTAGGCTTCTAGAGAAAATGACCTGCTACCCCTGTCCCTTCAGGGACAGAGCCCTGCAACCCTGGGGACCCACAAAGCCCACCTTGGGACTCAGGTGCCACTCTCCCTCCATTCCCCTCCCAATATGCCAACTTTTTGCACTTCCATTAGAATGCCAGGCAGGCTGGGCCCCCAAAGGCTCCTTTTTCATAACCTCTGGAAGACGCGGTTGAATGTGCCATGACCCTGTCCCTTACTGGATGGCACCGTCGTCGCAGCTGGCATCATCGGAGTCTTTTGTTGTGTTGGCGTGCCACCTGGAAGACACTTCTGTCCCCGGACAACAGGAGTTGGAAGAGCATCTTCTGTTTTCAGTGCAGGCTAACACAGTCACAGTGACAGCCGAGATCACTCAATAAATGGTGCGAAACGAGTTTGTCTCCTGATCTTGCTCTTTCTGGTGCCTCCAAGAAGCGGCCTGTCTGACTCTCCCCGGGCTCCTCCTTTGTAGCGCTGTCCCGGTGAACAGTGCAGTGTCCCACGTGTGATGGCCAAGAGGAGCCAGTGGTGTCTGCCTCCAGTCCCCAGGGCAGCCTGGGACGCCCTCAGCCAGGCCCTGTTTTCTGTCGCTTGTAGCGAGCCACATTGGAGACTCGGGTGGTGAAGGGGCTGTTAGGACGCCGCTTCCATTAGGCCCGGAGCGGGGAGCCTCAGGTCTTGTCTTGCTAGCTTTCTCAGCTTGCCTTCACTTTGAATGAATCTCTTGCTTGGAGGTAGGGGAGTGCAAACCCTGCTCCTGTCTGTGTGCGCTTACGTGTCTGTTGCGTCTTGGCTTTGTGTGAGCAGGATTTTCCTACCTGGCAGAGACGTTTGAGCTGCCATAGCTGGAAGCCCTGTGCTTCGGCTCTTCTCAGGTTGCAGCGTGGGAGGGGTGAGTCTTGCTTGAGCCCCTGACTTTGAGCCTCCATCTTTGTCCCCTGTGAACTGGCTCCAAGGGAGGCGGACTCGAGAGTTGGGTCCTGGCTTGCTGCTTTTGCCTGTGTGCTGCAGCTTGTCTTCCAGAGGCAGGCAGACTTCTCTAACCCTGAAGAAGAACTTGAGGAAGATTCCTTCTACAGTCACTTAGCACTTTCTTTACTAAGCTTGGATGCCATCTGAAGGCATCCCGCCCCGGCACCAGATTGCCTGTCAGCCAACACTTCAAGGCTTGGGTTTAGCCATAATAGTTACTTTCCCAAAGTGGTCATTGTAGTTTTGACTGTGCCAGCCTTCTGGTGTACCAGTCTGATGATCAGGCTCCACCCTGACAGGGCTGAAAGGAGCGCTGGTTGTCCCTAGGCCCTGGGCATCTGTGTCGTTTCCTTTATTAATGGGATCTAGGCCTGCTTACAGGAGGTACCAGGATCTCCAAGGCCCCAGCTCTGTTTACAGGATTTATTGGTGAGCTGGAATCCTTTCTCTTGCCCTCTGTGACCCTTCTCCTCTCTCTCTCTGCCCCCAAGGATTGTGGAGTATACAAAGTAATGGTTAAATATCGTAAGTGAGGGCTGGCTTTCCTTTAAGTGTAGCGTGACTCATGCAATTGATAGGCTTTGTGATTGCCTCATGGACTGAGATCTGGTTAGAAAGCCCCAAATTTGGGTATTTCTTTACCCCAGCCGGATGAATGTCAGAATTTGCTTATGCTTTACTCTATTCCTTTGGATTCTTGGACTGATGAGGCCAGGTGAATTGTGTGGAAGATGAGGAAGAGAAATGTCCAGTGTCCTGAAAGGACCCTGGATGCTAGGGGTGCCAGAAGTGGAGAAAGGAGACTTTTGCAAGAAGGATGAGTCAGTTTAGATGATTTTTCAGTCATTGTCTCTCTTCACTTTGGTGTCTATGCCCTCATTTTCACGGTCTTGCGTATTGTTTAATCTTTCCTCTTTCCAGGCTTCTCTTCTCCCTTCTCCATGCCCCTACCACGAGCCGTTTGTGGCCCTTCTCTTCCTTTCCTCCTTGACGCCATTGCCCAGCTACATTGTGGTCAGCTAGAAAGAGCCCAGTGGCACATGTGACTCTTCTCCAGGACTGAGCAGTCAACCTTGGTGCTCAAGAAGCAAGTGCCGAATCAGTCTACCTGACGGGGGGAACATGCATCTCAAATGAAGCATAGATAGAATCTGCTCTCAGAGTTATCTTTTACAGTAGCCACCCTGCTTCATTTGTAGAAGTTGCTTCATTACAGATAGAACAGGCTTGTGAAGCTTCACCCAGGAGACTTATTAAGCTGAGCTGATGCTCAGTGCTAGTCACTCCCTTAATTATGTGGAAGTCCTTCCTTGGCATTTTGTGCCTCTGTTTGGGCCCTTGTGAACATCAAGGGGAAAATCAACCCCTTACGTTGAAGGAGAAATTTGGTCAGCCGGAGCAGCATTGTCAGAAGCAGTCTGACCTTGGCCTTTGAAGCTCAGATCTAAGGCACTAGAGCTGATGGGCAGGGTACAGGGCTGAAGTCCATGCAGCGGCTGTGATAGTGCAGTCCTCCCCTTCAAGGGAAGAGGGATGGCCCAGACTGATCTGCACAGGGATCTAGTGGGACGGGCACTCTCTGGCCCCTTTGACTTTAGGGACCATAACCGGGCACTGCCAGGGTGCTTGAGAGGGGAGACTCTCATCACATGTTCAGATGGACCGACTGCAGTTTCATGACAGACTTCTTAAACTTGACCCATCCTGGATGAGGATCTTCACCTCACACCAGATCTCTGGTCTAGTCCTGGGGTAGGTACCCAGTGGATCTATGCTGACTGCTACTCTGGGGTCAAATTTATGATGTCCCCAACTAGAGTCGTGCCATTAAGCATGAAGAAGGCTCTTCCTAGGAAGGCTGATCTTCAATGAGATTTCTGGTTTGGGTTGCTCTTTGTTTCATTCAGAATCAGCTCAGTCATCTCTTAGGTTCCTTCCAGCTTTAACTCCACGATCCCGGAACGATTTCAGTTTTAGACACTGGTGGCTTTGCTACTTATTGAGCTATGATGAGGAAGGCATTGGGCCATATGCTGTGAGTGTTTGAAGGCACGTAGGACATGGCCCTATTCTCAAGGAATCTTAGTAGAGAAGATAGGTCGGAGGTAGTCTGTAAGGGGCAGTTTCTTCTCTCTTCTGAGTTTACAGACAGTATAGAACAGTTGAGACTTTGTTCCCCTAGTAAATGTGATCAGTCAGTCATTTGTCTTGCACTTGTCAATGTTTAAAGGAAGCATGTTTTTATGTGGTAGCCAGTTTGTGTATTCTGCTAGAGGAGAGCGGCTCGAATCTTCAGCCCTGCCTGAAAGGCCAGTGGGGGCTGCCACTGGGAGCGATAGGGTTTGGGCACATATCCTGAGAGCAGTGGCTGGCTGGCTGGCTGGCTCTTTTGGTGTGCTTTTATTTTTGTTTTCCTATATAAAGACTATAAAGAGCCACTTAGAATGCAGTGTGAGAGATTTGGGGTAGATAGGTGTGGGTCAGACTAGGGGAGCAACAGAGATTTCCCATTTTTATAGAAGGGGTGGTTTAAGTGTGGTCCTTTAAGGTGGGCCCAGGGAGGTAAATGTCTTCCTTTAACCCTGGTAATAAGTTGGAGCCCCCAGGGCAAATTCCTAGCAATTTATAGTGGAATTTGAATCCAAGAACTAGAAAGTAAAAATTCTCTGAACTATTGGGTTTATTTTAAAACTCCAGCATCATCTTTTCCCACCTTTAAAAGTCATAATAACTTGGGTGGTAATAAACCTGCATGTTGAATTTTACCCTCCCCTGGTTTCCATTTAGCAAGATGGGTCAGGTTGTCTTAGCTTGATGAAGAAGCACATGAGATATCACATGTCTCCAATGGAACCATGGAGCCATGGTTGGTTGTGTTAGTCATGTGTTAGGAGAAGACAGCGGCTTGGCTTCCTGCCATTGATCTTCCTGCCCAGTTCAGTCCTGGCTGGTCACTTGGGTGGGAATCTACGCTTGCCCTCACCTTCCACCCACCCATCCTTTCCAAGGCATGTGTTGTTCTAACTTAGAAATAAGTGAAGCTTTTGATCAGGAATGATGTTTGTCTTCCCAAAGAGTATCAGTCATCCTAGTCTCATTGCTGACTGTTTTCAATTAAAAAATAGCAATGAGTCATCAAAATGGCCAGACCAGGAGAGGTGGTCAGTGGCAGTAGTATGTAACCCAGTAACGTGGTATCTTCGCCCCTTGTGTGTCAGCTAGTCTTATTAAGAGAACATAGCATTAGTGGGATTGGACAGGTCTGGGTGGGTTAGTAACTCTCTTTGGCTTGTACACGAGTTCTTAAGAAACCTTAATTTGATTTGGAGCGGGTGTTTTCCAGGGAAATTTGGCAGACATTCTGCCCTTAATGGGGCAGGAGCAAAGTCTAGGGCAAAAAGCCAGGAAATTAGCTTTGACGATAAAGCTTTGGCATGGAATAGGGCGGTGCTTTGGTGTTCCGGAGGCCACCTTCACCTCCATTCATAAATTCAGCAGCTGCTGAATGCCTTCCACGTTGGAGGCACTATGCTGGTGTGTGGGGAGGGTGGGAACAGACTTGGAGAAGGCAGGCCTGCCCTTGAGAAGCTCACCATCCTTAATCACACCTCGGCGTCTTTCACAACCATGTTCTTCAAAAGCCGTTTGGGTCAAGTTATACCTTGGAAGCAATAACTTTGTTCTCAAAGAGCTTGGAGTCGCTGGTTGTGTCCATGGAGCTAAGACAGCAAGGCATTAATGACTGGGCCCAAGCAAAGCTGAGTTAGCAGAAGGGACGGCCTTATTCCTTCTGCGGATTAGTTGGTGCTCTGGGGTGACCGCTCCTCACTGCTGGGGGGAGGGGTGCTTCTGCCACCTGCTTCACTGCATTCAGGACAATATTTTTTTATTGTTTCCCTTTATGAGATTAGAGGTAGTTCCTGCCAAACTCCACAGAGCTGGGACTCAGTGTTCCTTAAATCTGAAGAGAAGTGAACTCGGCCCTGCTGGCTGCCATTGGCTCCTCCTGCATTGTGCCAGTCGACCAACATTTCTTAACGCCTCCTATGTGGCAGACACTGCGCTGAACTACATCATTAAGAGCAGGGGGAGGGCCAGACTGACCACCCGGAACAAATTGGGAGATGACCTGATTTCTCTGTGGAAGGTGCCGCTGAGATGAGATGGATGTGGTTCCTTCGGATCCCTCCGGGCCAAAGAGCTGCCTGCACTGGGCTCTGAGTGTCTGGAAGGGGGGTGTTGGGTCCCTGGGACTGTTCTCTCTTTGTTAAAAGCTCGTTTTTTTGTCTCTGGCTTGTCAGGGCCTGGGAGGAGTTTCACGGCCTGGTGAACAGCAGCGGCCGCTGATGGGACACTTCCCCTCTCTGTCTCTCACACCCAGGGTAGGGCCGCGTCTATCTTCTCTGTGACTTGGTGACATACCTCTCCCTGCTGGGCTTCTCTCTAACGAGGGAAGCCCCGTTCCCACGGGTTACTTTCTTGCCCTGCTGTCTCAGGTCTCCTCAGTTGATTATTTTTTTTTGCTCATTAACAAAAACCACTGAGAAACATACTCTAGATGTTGTTACCCTTGTTCTACTGTGATCATTTTTTTACCCTATACATTTTGACAGCATCCTGTGATTTAAAGGGCAGTACCCCACTTCTTGTGGGGCAGGTGAGAGGTACGTCTCCCGTTTGCTTGTGTTGTGTAGGTATTGTCTTGTAGCCAGAACAGTCACATCTGGGGTGTGAAAGTACAATTTCCTGGTGTGTTTCCATGTTAGGGACTGGGGAAGTCGATTTGGGGCAGTAAGCTAGAACTCTGAGTCAGCTATAATGGAGAAAACTCCTTCGAAAGAGGGACCGGCCTGGAGGGAAGGGCTGACCCCTCTTCGCTGACAAGAATCACCGTGGAGGGTTTTAGTATTTGGTTGCCAAGACCAGACCTCCTGTGTGTGTAAGAGGGGGCCTTGAGTAATTATCCTGAGTCATTCCAGTGGTGCAGAGAATGGCACGGGCCTGAAGTAAGACTTGAGCCCTCCACGCTGACTGCCTTCTATTCCCTGGGCAGTCAATACAGAGTGCTGGCTTGTGATCGTGGGTGCCCGGCAGGGAGACCCAGCCATCGGCTACCACAGTGGCCTCTGTCTCACCCAAGGGCTGAGAACATGTCGTCCTCTTGCCTGTCACACACCTGGTCCCCGAGATAATTAGTGTATGTCCTGATGAAGCAAGCGTCCCAGCCCGGCCTGGCCTACTGCATGCGAGAGCATGAATGTGGAGGGGGAGCTGGGGAGCCCGAGCCTCTTGTTGGCCCAAGGGGCTTTGGTCCCAGACAGGATGTGCTAGCCCCTCCGCCTTCTTTAAGTGCCCTTAAAGCATGCTTCCTTATATGCTCATGGATGCTTCATGGTATGAGTGTTAATTGCTGGGCACCTTAGCTTTTAGGTTGCTCAGCACCTCCTCCTTCCTTGACCCCTGAATAGTTATTGTTCCACAAACCAGTGAACTGGGAGGACTGCTTTTTATAAGAAGGCCTCTCTGTTGTAGAAGTCAGTGTCTAAGCTCTGCATCTATGTAATTTGCAGTTTGGAGATCCTGGAGATCCCCCTTTTGGCCTCGGTGCAGATGCTGCACCTTGAACAGCGGTTCCGGCAGGACCCCCCCCCCCCCCCAGCTTGAGTAGAGAGGGCTCAGATGACTCATCCTGGGATGGCACACCTGTGGCAGGAATCCTTTCTTGGTCAGGAACAGTTGGCACCTGTCAAGTGGGAGCTTGCAGAGGTGGAAATCAGAGCTGGGAGGACTGTTGCTTCCCTGTCCCAAGGGGGGGGTCTGCAGTTTTTTTTTCAGGAAGAGAGGAAGAAATCAAAGCTGGACTGATGGGTGGGAAGCTGATAGCTGGAGAGCATTCCTTGACTTGAGTTAGCATTTCCCGAGGGACTCCTTAGAAGCCAGGGTCAGATTGGTGATTCATTGAGCTCTGCCTAGCTTTCAGGACAGAGTCCTGTGGGCTTGGAGTGGAGCTCAATCAAGATCTCAAAGTGTAATTCCCAACTGTGATCCAAGTCTCTTTGGGAGTAGACAGAGGTATGGTGGTCGAATTTGGCATCCTGGGGCCTCTGGAGCCAATGCTGAGGACTAGAATAGCTCAGAGAAGAGATAACCTTGGGGATTTCTTTGTCTCCAGCTTGTTAAATCCACTGGAGTCAGCAGCCACAGTCAAGCCCTGTGTTCAGTGTAGACCCTGTACCATTTGGATCCCTAGGAAAGTCTAAAGGGGGTTCTGCTGTGGGAGGCAGCCCCAGGCTTAAGAAAGCCTAAGAAACTCCATCCTGGTCTGGTAGGCAGCCCCACGTTTTCCCCAAGGGATCTTGGATGGAGGTGATAACAGAAGTGAACACGTCTATAACACCTTGTTTTATCTCCTGTATCCTCACAATCCTCTCTGTGAGCTAAGTGGCTCCATTGTTATCCCCATTTTACAGATGAGAAAACGGAGACTTAGAAAAGTGAAGTAATTTGCCTAAGGTCACATGGATAGTAAGTAGTGAAGCTAGAATTGGAACCCAGATCTCCTTGCTTCCACATGCAGCGCTTACTAGGTGCTCCCTCATACTTCGGGGGCGCAGGCAGCAGGGCAGAAGGGAATCCAGCCCTTTCCCCCGTCCTCTGAATCCCGTAAACGTGTGCACCACGTCCACGTGTCTGCAGCGTTGTCTCTGGACAGCAACGCTCCAGTTTGCAGGTAGGAAGACAGAGCAGTGAGAACATGAGGCAGGGACCCTGGCAGATGCCAGGTTGGGTTGCGAGCTGTCCCTTTGCCTGCTGCTTCGTGAGGAAGGCTTAGCTCTGTTCAGTCTGCTATTGTCGTCCAGCCATCGTCATCCGCACGTCTCACTCCCCTCCATTCGTTCATTCACTCACTCGTTCATTTGTTCAAGCGTTTGTTCAAAGCCTTCTGTGTGCAAAGCCCTGTGTCGGGATCTGGAGACAAAAATGAGTCCCTGCCCCTAAGGAGTTGCTATTCTACTGGGTAATAGAATGCAAAAACCAAGCAGTTAATAAAAAGAGAATGATGTGAAGAGGAACTTTGGAGACCAGGAAAGGGAAGGGGCAGACAGTAGCCTGGGATATAGTATGCCAGATTTCCTTCTTTGCCGGGGAACTCTTACATTGCCGTAAGTAGAACATGGCCCTCCTGAATGTTGAAGGTCTTTGGTTATGATTTCATATAAAAATTATAGATGCAAATTTTGATTCGCTTATGAGAAATAAAATATACTTTTGCTCAAAAAAATCTCAGGAGCCAGTGAAATAAATGAGTGGTCTTCAGGAAACAGAATAGCTTTTCTAAAAATTACCAAAACGTGAAATTGACACATTTTTTTCATTTTTTTCTCTTAAATATAATTAGGCACATGCTTTCTGGCTTCTCTTTTGCCTGCTTAGGTAAAGACTTGTTAAGTTTAAGTGGCATTTTCCTCCCTTCCCTCCCACACTTTCTTCATGGCCCAGCGTGATCTTGGCCTTAATTTTTTTTTTTTTTTTGTATCTGCAGGCCTCATTCCACAGATGGCATGCTTTGTGATTATAAATAGACATCTTGGAATGGTGGCTATTTAGTTTCTTTAAAAATTTCTCTGTGGCAAAATGTTGTATAAGGTCTTTGTACTTTATGTGTTAGAGACTGAGGTCTTCAGTTTTCAGTCTGTCTGCTGAATATTTCACCAGCTTTCCCCAGGGAGACTAACTGCTTATCTGCGTGATAGATACTGGCACTCCCTCTCCCACAGCCCTGGAGATAACCACACATTCTAAAAGGAACTGGGCCTGGCACATCCTTTTCTGTCTTCTTCCCATCTACCTGTTTTGATAGAAAAATGATTTTATTTTCATACCCTCAGAAACTACACCCCTACTCTAACCCTTCCCATGTCCTCTCCTTTCTTTTCACCTTTCCTCCTTTTACATACTGACCCATATCAGCAGTTGGACTCTTGGGTTAGAGGTGGCAACCAGTGAAGATGTGGAGCAGAGCAAGTTACTATGCTTTAAGTAAGTCCTAGCAGCAGCAGCAGCATCAGCATCTTTGATGGTGTTCTAGGTATTTTTACTCTCTTAATTTTTCTACCTCATGTAGAGTTCCAAAGTGTGGCTGCATTGGTGTTACACGCACAGGCATTGCCCACCGAACATACGTCGTTGATTCCTGGAGAGCATAGCAGTAGTCAAAACAACACTAGAAGGGGCAGTTAGCCCCCCATACGATGGTGGGCAGACAGATAGCTGAGTCACATGATGGCAGGGTGTGCTTATCACGTGTTAATGATGCTTATTGCAGAACGGCCTTAGGCAGAGCAGCTTGGTGTGGGAAGTGCCTGAGCTCCAAACCCTCTGCCAACAGAAACACACCCAGAAAGACTGTGGGTCAGTTACTAGACCCTTATCTCTGGTCCACCTGTCTCTGCTGCTCTGATCAGATCTGGTCCTCTCCATTTCTTACCAGCTCCTCTTGGCATTTTCAGACACCTTTGTGTTCAGGAAGAAAAATCCATGAGAAGGCAAGCCTGTCTGCTCCCAAAAAGGCAACTTAGAGGAGACACTCGGAAATTGAACGGGGAGGATTTATTTCTAATATTAGGACCAGTCCAGTCCAGCTAAGTTTCCAAAGCAGAGGGGCCAGACTCACTTCCTCTAGTAATCTCTTTTTCATAAGCAGCTGGGAGTTGTTGAACTGAGTTCTTTGGCGTGAAGAGGGGGGATGCTGGTCCCTGTATCTCTGGGTTAGTTTAGTAGGGAGGCGCTAAGCAAGGGCCAGGGGTGGGTCACTAAGGGCCCCAAAGCTGATGGTCACAGCTGCTCCCCACCTCCCCCCCCCTCTGTGTATGGATATATGTTAGATGACCTATGTATTAAATCACTCCATTCTCTCCCACTTTCTCTTTCAGGGACAATTCAAGTTTTCGAAATACAAAAATCACATTGTGAAAGTACCCAAGCTGGCAATAATCCTTTTCTGTATGTGTATGTCTGTCTGTCTGAAACGGATGGGAGGCCTCCAGCAGCTCCCTCCGTCTGCTCACTGAAGGGACATCCCCGATCCATGGGCTCCCCTTTTGCACTCATCCCTGGAGGAAGGATTCCACTAGACGCCCTCCAGCATCGCTGACTTTATAAAGCAGAAAGACAGAAAAGATGACTTTGTAATAGACAGACTTTTTTTAAAAATGGGGTTCTGGGGAGAGGTGAACCTTTCGTTTGCTGTGTGTGCCGTTGTCCACATGCCTTCTGGGCCCTCTCTTGCTCTCTTGTTACACTTCTCAAAGGGTATTGTGAACACACGTATGTGCCAGAGCTGTTGACAGCGAGTTTATCAGTATTATGAATGTCTGTGCATCTGGGAAGAATTTCTGTTGGAGAGAGTCACCATGCTTATCTGTAAGTGCTCCTTTCTGGCGCTGCCTTTAAATTATTGGGACGTTTTGGTTTTTTTTCCCCCGTTCTCCCTCATCCTCACCTCTGTCCTCTAAACGTGTCGATGATATGTTGGTGACTGTCCAGGGCTCCGTATGGCCTCCTGCCAGCCTCCGGTCCTTCCCTTTCTCATCCCGAGGACGCTTCCTTTCTTCTTCAGCACGGCTGCCTGCAGCGCAGCCTCTGACGTGGTGTCTGCTCCCATTTTGCAGAGGTGCAGGGCCCCTCTACTCAGGAGCCAGCCCCCATCTTGAGCTCTGACTTTCGGGCTTCCCTGGGGGCAGGGCATGAGACCCCGAGAGAGAGGCCTCTGGCTGTCCCCTCGTTGAGCAGGAAGGTCAGAGAGAGAACTTTGGGAGGCCAGATCTGGCTGCATCTTAAGATGTGCCGTGGGAGGATCCCGGACATCGGAGGTGACACGTTGGCGTTGTTGATGACTGTCTCACCTTTCCTGCCTGTTTGCAGCTGGCCAGGAGAGCTCCTTCTCGGCAGTCCTCTGTGCTTGGTGCCCACTCTGGTAAATATCTGCTGGTCCACGCGATGCCCAGATGAAACTCTTGAGAGCTTCGGTCATCAGGCATTAAGATGGACCAGATCCTTGGTCTGAGAAGTTTGAGTGACCTCTCAACTCCAGAAGGACTGAATTCTACTTAAAAAGTAGAATGAGTTCCCAAGGCCCAAATAAGTGCTCGGCCTAGGACCCTGCAGGAGCCTTCCAGTTACACTGATCTACTTAGCTCTTGGGAGCAAAGATTAGCAGTGCCTTAAAACGAGGGCCTCTCTTTCAAGCATCCTCTAAGGCTGGGTTGGCTGGGGCAAGGTAGGGACCCTTAATCAACTGGGCTTAGCGGAAACCTAGGAAAGTGACAGGCATTTCCTCATTGGGCTTAGGATCGTTTCTTCCTCTCCAGCACCCCAGTCACCACTGGTTTGGGAATATTTTACTTTTATTGTTTTTTTAAATCATCCTAAAGGTTTTCATTAGAACAAATGGAAAAACAAATGAACTAGAGATATTGTGTGTGTGTGTGGGGGGGGTGTATTTCCATTCTTGGCAAAATCAGGTGTGCCTAAGGAAATTTAAGAATGATTCAAACTTCAGAAGCGGGGAGCACGGATCCTAGCACTGAGCCAGATGAGCATGACAGGCGAAACAGCGAGCGTGTTGACTTTGGACAGCACAAGGAGAGCTTCCCACCGACCCTTGTGCCCCCTCCATGGGAAATAGCTTTGCTCTTGGCTGGGCACAGTTAGATTTGCCGTGGAAATGCCAAAGAGGGCGAATTTGGGGAGATCTGCTCTCTTTGGGGCGTTTGCCTGTGTGTGTGTGTGTGTGTGTGTTGGGTGTGTTCATGTATGTGAATGTATCCATGAAGTTGGATCTTTTCAGGCCACGTATTTGTGTTTTTTTGTCCATGTTCCTTTTAACTCTCATCTGCTGTTCAGACTCTTGAACCACTGATATTTTCCAGAGCTGCTCATGTTTTTCCCCCTTACTTCTCCCCACTTGCAGTGTTTAAGATTTCTCCTAGCTAAAATATATATATATATACACACACACACACACACACGTATGTGTGTATACACAAGGATATCAGTATTGACTAGAACAATTCATCGCCCCTTTTAGGTAACAGTTAACTCCCGATGTTTCTTTGTCCTGGCTGTCCAGCACCTTTTCTCGGAGAGCTGTGTTCTTGGCTCCATCCGACCCCTGTTGCTGCAGACAGAACTGAAGTGTCTCTTTACTGGAGCCAGCTTCTGTGCAGCAAGACATGGCGTGGTTACAGTCTGCCAGGGCCAGTCTTGTGAGCAGGGACTAATTTCAGCCCCCCTCCCCTTCCTGTCTTTCCTGCTGGGGATGGACGAGCTGTCTGCACCTGGCACATCTGCTGCTCCATTGTCCCTCTTGTGTTTTCTTTTTGAGGCACCCTTTCTCCCTCCCACTTTTTTTGTCCTTCAGTTTTTTGGGGTGTGTTATTCCTGTGAAACCAGAAACGGCCATCGTTTCTTACCCAGAGTCAAGCATATGGTTCGTGTTCCCAGAAAGGGCTTGCTGGCTGTTACTAGTGAGAATTAGGAGAGGCCACAGTAAGAGTGAGTGTCGCACCTTCAGAGCATTTGTCTGCTGCAATAATAAATGGAAAAATGGGCAAGAACCAGGTTGTGGACTCTTTAATGTGGGAGGGGAATTTGGGGGGCTGCCCTGTCCCTGTAGGGTAGTACAGCCTTGAACAAACTGATCTGAAATCTGGTGTGAACTCTTCCTAATAGCTGGGTTTACTATTTGGTGACTTCATCAGTAAGCATCAGCTCTGCAGGAACTAGTCCCTGCCCAGAAACACAGCTCACTTCTAATTGATAGCACGGGTGCAATGATAGGGAGCCCCTGGTTTTCTTCTGGTGTAATCCTGGGTCATTCTGGGACTCTTGACATGTGCCAAAAGTGGTAGTGATTCTGGTCACGCTGATGAGCTGCGATGGGACTCTTGCAGGAAGTTAGTCATTCCCCAGACTGAGAAGGAAGAAAAGGGAGAGTGTGTTCGGTTGAGGCAAGGGCATAAAGACTAGGGCTAGAGAGGAATAGGGACCTAACATCGGAGCAGAGAGAGGAGAAAGCAGAGAAGAGCAGTGCTTTGAGTCATTTCCATCTAGACTTGAACAGTAAGGTGATGCCCTGGGCAGGAATTTGTGCTGTGCCCCCTGCTGAGTCTTGGTTAGGCTCCATAGAAACACATTTTCTTGTTCTGAGTGTAGTCTGCAGAAAGGACAAGGAAGAGAAGCAATGCTCCCCCCACACTGAAGTGAGCTCCTTTCCAGGGTCCCATTTTCTCAGGTTTACAGTGGTCCCAGGTCTTCCCTGTGCTTGGATTTTCACTGTCCCCATCAGCCTAGAATCCATGACTGGCTGGCATATCTTCCTGTGTGGTGCACAACCCTCTACTGCATAGAGTTCCATTTGCCCTCCCCCAAAAAGACTCTCCTGGTAGAGGGAGTCGGTAATAGCTCCCATTGCTTTGACCTATTCCTCATCTGTAGCACTGTGTGGTTTACAATGGGCACTCCTTACAAGGACTGTGACTGTGGTAGTACTAGTAACGCCCTTTTGTAGATGAAATGGCCAGTGCAAGAGCCATGGGACACTTCACTGAAGGTCACCCAGATGACATGGACAGAATCAGTATTCGAACTCAGGTCCTCTGACTCCAAATCTGGGGCTCTTTCCTTTGAAGTGGCTTGTCCAAGATCACAACTGTTAAGCACCCAGAACTTCAACCCAGCTTCAAAGAAAAGATCTCTTAGAACAGTGTTGGCAGACATGCAAGCCCCCACACTCCTGAGTGGGCCTGAACCAGATTAAAATGTAATTGGGAAATATTTAACAAAATAAATAAAAACATAATGCTAATATGTGGTTTTCTAAGTCAATATGCGCCGTCAGGGATCTTTATGTGTGGTTCAATGGCCCACATTTCTATTTGCTTTTGACAGCAGTGCCTGAAAACTTGTGGGAAAAGAAAATGCCAATTCCCAAAATGGATTTAGAATTTATCAAAGCAGAAATCTCCTGTTTTCTTATCCACTGGATTTTGGAGGACGAAGAGCTCGGAGAGCAGATAGGAGAGGCGCTTGAAGGACTGTTTCCATTTGGCGCTGTGGAAAGAGCTCTGGTTCTGGTGTGTCCTGTGTGACTCTGGGCAAGGCAGTACGTTCCAGTTCTAAATCCGTCTACGGTGCAGAGGCCCCAGAACCCGGCTGAGTGTGTGTTGTGTAATAGAGTTAACAGCTGGAAAATTAGCGGCTGTCCATTTAGTAAGGCAAACAACCGTCAGCTTTGGGTGCAGGAAAGGACAGTCCTACGAATTCTCATCACCTCAGCGTGCTTGATGTCTAATCCCATGTTGGCACCTCACGGCAATGAATTTGCCATGGTGGTGTGGTGCTTGCCGGTTGGCCCAAATCACAGAATGAGAATTTAGGGAGCCCAGTGGCCATCTAGTCCAACATGTTTCCTCAAAGGAATTTCCTTGATATCCCAGCCGACGAGTCATCAGCCTCTTGTTGGAGACCTCCAAGGGAGGGGAAGCCATCATCTCTCCTGCCAGCTCATTCCACTCTTGGTTGGCTCTCATTGGTAGGAAATCTTTCAAGCCCAAATTGACTTCTTTGCAACTTTCTCCCCTCCATTGCCCCTTGTTCTTATCCTGTAGAACAAGGTGAATCCCTCTTCTAACCAAATTCTGTGTTAATTGTAAAGCAGTCTTGGTAGAAATTATCCTGTGTCCCAAAATGTACAGCCCAGTTCTATTCTTTGCCTTTTCCTCCATCCAAGTCCTAGATACTTGAACGCAGCTATCCTGTCTCCCCAATGTTTTCTCCAGGCTAGATGCCCTTGTGGCATGGACCCATCCTTCCCCGTCCTGGTTTCCCTCCTCCGCATACTCTCCATCTTACCAATAATATTACACAATGACACTCAGCCATGAACAGAGCTCCAGATGTGGTCTGGCCAGGGCAACGTCACCTCCTTGTTCCTGGAGGCCGTATCTCACGAATGTTTGTAACTGAGTGACGTTGAGCTTGCAGTCCACCCCGGCTCCCAGACAGTTAGCCCAGAGCCGCTATCTAATCCTGCCTCCATCCTGTTCTACTTGTGAAGTTGATTTTATGAGCCCGTTATTAGATTTAACATTTATCTCTATTGAATTTTGTCCTATTAAGATCATAGATTTAGCTGGAAAGTGCCCTTGAGATCAGGGTGGACAGCCAACTCCCTTGTTTTTCAAATGAGGAAGCAAACAGAGAAGCAGGATGAGGGTAGCATCTATGTATCCCTTTATCCAGGTTCCTGGCAAAAAGTTCAAAATAGCCCAGACACCCCAAGGCCCTTCACTGAAGGTCAGACAGATGATAGTAGCAGAAGCAATATTTGAACTCGTGTTTTCTGCCTTCACATCCTTGGCCAGTTCTCTTGACCCCTCCAGGATAATTCTTCAGGTCAGGTCATTCAGCCAGTTCTGAATCTGTCTAATTCAGTTATCCTCTAGTCCACATCTCTTCCTCCTTTCCATAAGAATAGCGTGAGGCACTTGATCAAATGCATTACTAAAACCTGGTTAATCTGATACGATCTGCTCGTGAGGAAGCCCTGTTGGCTCTTTGTAATCACCACTTCTTTGCTAGATGCTCACTACCTATCTTTTAAATTAGCTGTTCTAGAATTTCCCCAAGAATTGAAGTCCAACTCAGTGACCCATAGTTTGTGGCCTCTGTTCCCTTCCCTCTTTCCTCCCTCTAGAGTCCTGTTGTGTCTCTCGCATTCTCCACAGTCCTTCAGAATCACTGGTGGGGCTCAACAATTCATCTGAGCCAGGTGGCTTGAATTCACCAAGGATAATGATGCCTTTATATTAACAAGAGGCTAGTCGTGCTTTGATTGCAAAGAACATTGTCTCAGGAGTCAAAGGTCCTAGGTTCAAATGCTGCTTCTGATGATGACTGTTTCTGTGGCCTTGGGTAATTCAGTCACCATTCCTGTGACCCAGTTTCTGTATCTGTAAAATGTAGGAACTGGACTAGGTGGTATCTAAGGGCCCTTTCAGCTCCAGATCTGTGATTTCCTTGCTTACTTTGGGTATCAGCTCCCAGTTCACCATTTTTTTGTTCTTTTCTTTGGCAGAGAAAATGAACAAAATAGGAAATCATTCAGCTAATAAAAACATTTATTAAGTGATTACTATGTGCCAGGCTCATAAGAGTTCTTGCCTTCAAGGAGCTTACATTTTATTAGGGAGACGACACATGCACATAGGTTTATACAAAATACAAGGTTATTTTTAGGGGAAGGTGCTCCGTGCAGGGCTGATCAAGAATGACTTCCTGTAGGATGTAACGACTGAGCTGAACTGTGAAGGAAATTAGGGATTCTGAAAGGTAAAGATGAGTAGAAGAGCATCCCAGGCGTGACGAGCCACCCGTGAGGAGTCGTGGGAACGGGGGCAAGTAAGGAGATGAGCGTGGGTGGTCCATCCAGCATTACACGTGAGAAACGTATCGTGTGTAATACATGTGCGATGAAATTGGAGAGGAAGGTTGGAGCCATGGAGTCAAGGGTTAGGACCTGGAGTGACATGGCCATGCTTTGGCAGCTGTGTGGAGGTCTCGGCGACATCATGGGTACTCCATTAGGCAGTTATATCCAAACAATACAGAAGGCACATTGTCTTCTCTCATCTGGCCTCCGAGTCTGGTCATCGACCACTAGACGTCATGGCAGAACTTTGGTAGTTCAGTCTCTTTCTTCCCTGTTGATCCCGTTGTTGGAAATTCAAACCTCAAAGCTCTACGAATCAACGGAAATTATATTCCACAGTGTAGGAAAAGGCACGTCTGGGGGTAGTCATTGACTTCTGGTCGTGTCACCGAGAAAGGAGCTTTGTCTGCAGAGATCCTGAGTGCCCACTCGTTCTCCTTGTAAGGATCGGCTCAGGTGGGAGAAATGTCACTTCCACGAGCGATCCCCTCCAGAGCTGTGGGTTGTTTGGCTGAGAGTCGTGAGATTCCCACATGGCTGGCTGCTGCTGCCTGTTGATAGGGGGCAGGTACTGCCTCTCCTGCAGGATTCGAGGGGTGTGTGGTGACTTCCTGAAAGCCATGCTCTGGACACATCCCTGCCCTCCATCCCCTCTCTGACTTTCCTGCCCTGCTATGGCAGGGAGAAGGCAAACCACGGAAAGCTGGCTGGTCCAGGCCATTGAGTTTTTATACCACCTTGGGTGGGTTTTTTGTTGTATTGTTTTGGGTGGAGTTCTTGCTTTGGGTCAAGTCTGCTCTGCAGCACTTCAAGGATTGTGTGTTTTGCTTTTTAAGACATTGATGCCTTTTGTCTTAATATTATGGTCATTTCCCACCCCACCCACCAGATTGAAACCTCCCTTGTGATAAGGAAAAACAGCTGAGCAAAAACGATGATTGTGTGTGTGTGCACGCGCGCGCGTTTACTTTAAGGATTGTGTGGTCACTTTGTCTAAAAGTACTTTCATTTAAATTCCAGGCTTCTAAGAAAAGAGTATCGGTCAGACTGACAGCATTTTATATATGTCATAGGATTATCACTCTAAAGCACGGGCTCTTAACTTCGAGGTCTTGGACCATGAAT